TGTTAAGAAATCTTTAAGTAGTTGCATTAGCTTCTGCTAAATACCCAGCTGGTGTAGCGCTTTAGCGTTAGCTTCTGCTTTAGCATTAGCTGATGTAGCGCTTTAGCGTTAGCTTCTGCTAAATACCATGCTGATGTAGCGCTTTAGTGTTAGCTTCTGCTAAATACCATGCTGGTGAAGTGCTTTAGCATTAGCTTCTGCTAAGTATCATGCTGGTGTAGCGCTTTAGCGTTTGTGGAACTAATGTTTATGATTAGTTCTTTGGGTTAGCGCGGTTAGTGGTGCCCACAGCTGCTATTTAGACTACATTAAGTTGTACATTAACACAGCTTTATGTTGTGCGTTCTAGCCTGGGTTTTTCTGTGCTGTATTTATTGTCTGCTTTTTAAAAATAACCACAGATGGCAGAAGATAGACATTGTCATGTTAGAAATGTAAGAAATGTTGAGCTCCTCTCCATGAAGGAGTCGAGGACGAAGTCGGTGAGCTGAATCGTACCTGCAGCAGAGTTTTTCTCATCATCCTCGGTCGGCGAGGTCCCGTACACCCGGGGGTCAACGAACGGGGTGAAGGACGCCTTGGAGCCGCCGCTGCCTCCCATCCCGTACTGCAGAGCACAGAAATACAGCAGACACTCAGATCTGATCAGCAGTCAGGACTCAAAATAAAGGAAACATCGGGTTAATTAAAAGCTATGCTAAGTTGTTTCCTTTATTTTGTCAGAAAAATGGTGGGAACTTCCTGGTTCAGAGGCTGGAAAACTGAAAGATGGAGGAAAAGAAGGAGAGAAGATGGGGTATAATTAAGCCATTTGTGATCAAAGTAAACTTTTACTAAAGATTTTCCCCCTAAAATAAGTTGAAGTCATGCAAATGTCTACTTAAATGTTGCAATAGATTAAACATCTTAACGTCAACTTGAAGTTGGAATGAAATATAATCCAAAAGAACAGAAACAGGACCAACTCCCCACTGGTACAGCAGCTCCCTCTAGTGGTACAGAGAGGAAATGCTGAGAATTAGTAACTGTTGCCTGGTAAAAGCTGTACACACTCATCCTGTCATTGGGGTAAAACCATGATGGGGTTTGTTTGGTTGACCTTCATGAACTGGTCCAACTAATAGTTTAAAACATGGAGAAAATGTTATAAGTGAAATAATCTGCCAGTGGAACCAGAACTATTAACGTAAAACAAGCTCCTGTGTACCGAGATAATTGAACTAGAAACTAGACTAAATAGGATTTTGTGTTTTAGCAGTGTGGACACCTTGCAGATCCTTAACCCAACATTAAAATGTGTTTGATCGAAACACCAACGAGGTTTTATTCTAGTTTTTGCTTCTGCTTAATGTCTTCTGATTCCATCTGTTTGTTTTTGTTAAACCAGAACGATGAAAATCCTCCTGATGACCAGACAGGAACTGATGGTGCTGAAGGCAACGTCCCACCCGGATCAGACGCTGCCATGTTTGTTGGAGGGGTCAGTGGTCAGGTGATGATGTGGGTCAAAGGTCAAAGGGTTGGACAGGGTGACGGAGGTTGTCATAAGGGCCGGGTTCTGCTCCACCTACTTGGACCAAGGAGGCGCGGCCCAGAGGGCCCAGAGTGCTTTGTTGCACCAGATCTGGGAGGTTGGTGTTGCCAAGGAACGGATTAGCGCTGCCGTGGTAACTGTTGCCGGGGGCAGAGCTCCGCCTCCGTCCCCTAAACCTCTGGAAGAAGAGAAGAGAAGGGGGCGTGGCCCCTGAGCGGCGAGGTGGTGATGGAGGTCAGGCTGCCGGCGGTGGAGTTTATTCAGGAGAAAAACCTCCATCATGCTAAAGACGCTGCAGGTCCAGAGTTTGGGTCAGAATAAAACTAGTAAAATGTTCAAAGTAAAACAATTAAGATATTTGGAAAAAGCTTCAAATATCAACATTCAGGATTTAACTGAATGTTTAAACTAATGTTTTATTTCTTGTATCAAATCGGATCCACGGTGTTTCTGCAGGTTCACTAAACCAAATCTAAGACTTTTTAAGACCAAAATGAGTGAAATTTAAGACCTGTGACATCACAGAAGAAAAACAGAAAAATATTGATGAAGAAATGGTTCTCCTTTTGAGATTAACTACATTCTTGCTTTAGTTGAAGATATGAACTACATTTCTTTTTAATCTTTTTGTCTAATTATTGCAAAAATGATCAAAAACATTGGGACCAAGCCATGCTAACTTCCACCTGCAGGTGGCAGTATTTTTTCTACTACACTGCTGACTCAGCCTGACTTGATGTCAGGTTATGGTCTGTGAGCGACGTGGAGATGTTTGTCATCAAATAATGCAATATTTCTTGTAAATATTTCTAAACCAGCTTCACAAAATCAGTGAATTTATTTGCAAAAAATTCCAAAAACAAAAACAAAATCCTGGGGGAACCGATCAATGCCAAGAGATGTTCAATATTATTTAACTGGCAATAAATTCACACTGAAAATACAAGATTAGGACAAACTTTAAGACCTGTGATTAATGTATTCAAGTCCAACTTACCTTTAATTAATGAATTCAGGACATTTTAAGGCCTTAATTTTACATAATTTAAGACTTTTTCTGGAAGCACAGCCACCCTGAGTCCAGGAGCAGCTACTGAGGTCAAACTGGCTGCTCATGGCATTTTGGGCTGTGCTAATGACCCGGACCCAGACGGGGACCAGAACATCTTGGCCGGGTCGGCGTTTAACCTGGACTCACCTCCCGCATCATGAGCGTGCTGTCCTGAGTGCTGTCACCGTACGGGTCACCGTGGGCGTCGTTTTGACCTCCCATCACGCCGAAGGACTCGTTGCTGCTCTGACTCGCTGGAGGCCTGAAGGTCAAAAGGTTAAACCCCAGTTTAGCGCCGTTCATTTGGTTTGCTCTCTTTAGGAGATCTAGTGTCACTCACATAATCCGCGGTATGTCGCTAACGGCCACCGATCCGTCATTAGCCCCGCCCTCTCCCTCCTCATCCTCGCTGCTGTGCGACTCCTCGCTGGATGAAGAGTAGTCCGTGACCTTGACCGGCGGACGGCTGGTCTCCTCTCCCTGCCGCAGCTCTCTCAGCTCTTTGGCCAGAGCCGTCAGGTCCTGCAGGACGAACAAGCGACTGTTACTGAGTCTGGAGTTTCTGTCTGCAGGTAAAAGCAGGAACTGAACTGCAGTAAAATGTTATTATCATGTTGCCTTCAAACCCTGAAAGGAAGCAGATCTACCTACATGTTTGATTCATAAAAGGACCACAAAGCCAGAAGCTTTGAGCTAATTTTATATTTTAAACCCAAACAAACATGATTAATAAGCGAAGAGAAGAGTTCTTAGTAAAAAAGAGTTTTTCCAATAAAAAGCATTTATAATTTATTTAATATTTCATTGGGCAGTTTTTTAAAGAAACACATCAGGTGCTTTAACAGCCTCAATGTATCTTTGACTGCAGCACAAAAAAATCCTGAAAGTAATTTAACTACTGCCTGAACTTTTTGCTACATTTATAAAGTTTACGGGTTACTTTGCAGAACTTACCCATAATTGCTACTTTCCCAGACTTACATGTGACTCTTCTGGAGTTCACACCTCATGTTTTAGAGTTAATTAACATTTAAATTCTTAAAAGTTTTGAAGAAAAAACTTTTGCATTCCTGGCAAGTTTGAGAAAATATCACTTAAACTCCAGATTTCCCATAAAGTTCTATTAGTTACTAATGATGAAATTGTTTGCTTTTAAATTCCTTAAAAGACGCTTCCTTTGCAGTCTAAGTTTTGAAAAGTAACATTTAAATTAAATACAGAAAAAGTTCAGCAGAATATTGTGCAGGTTTTAGGAAGTAACTTTATATTCTGGAAAGTAACCTGACAGTTCCAGGTGATTTCCAGAAAAACAATCTGCAAATTAACCTTAAAATTCTTAAACGTTTTGGGAAAATAACTTTTGCATTCTTGGCAAGTTGAAGAAAGTAACATTCAACCTTTAAGTTCTGGGAAATGAACTCTAAGGTTTTACAAATAACAAAATGAACACCAGACATTTACTGGTAAGTTTAAGAAAGTAACTTGTATTTTAGGTTCAGAAAAGTAACCAATTCGTTCCAAACACATTCCTGAAAATGATCCTTTAAAAGCCATAAAAGACAACTGTAAGTTCTGGAAAGTAGCATTTAGTGTTGTAACAATCCAGCAGGCAAAAAGGACAGGAGCATCACAGATCTGGGAGACGCCATGCAGGTTGTTAGTCCGTCTAAATGTTCCTCTGTCGTGACGCGGCGGCCGGCAGGAGGAGAGAACATGACGGGAGGCGAACTACAGACCATGCCTCGCTCTCAGAGACTTCAGACCCACATTTCACATCCAGCAGCCACAGAGAAACAAACTGAGATGCAACGACTGGATTAGAGTGTAATGCATCTGTCGCCATGTTGCAGCAGGATTCAGAAATAAATCAGCAGATTCCTCCGAAAATTTAATAAAACAGCAGAAAATAAAATATTATTATCTGAATGTACTGAAAATGTCCTAAAATATGGGTTAAATAAAAAGAAAAGTAAACATGTTAACAGATTAATATATTCTGTGTAAATATGCTAAATATGAAACATTATGAAACAGTTAGAGGAAAAAAAATGTAAGGAAAGAATTTAACTATTTAACTTAATGTTTTATTAATTTATTCAATACATTTAAATCATAAAAAAGTCAAGAAAGATTAAAAATGATGCAATAAAAAATTAATATTTGCAATAAAAATATATGTATTATTTCACACAAATACTGAATCCTTTTATTATTTAGATTTTGTAATTATATAACTTTGAGAACAGAATAACATGTTATTTTCTATAATATTTTTAAATTAAAATTAAAGAATAATAATTATCAATAATAATTGATTCTGGATTTAAATGTTGTAATTTTGACATATTACTTCTGTAAGAAAAAATATAAAATATTAAACTAACATTAAAACCTCTTAATTAAAATTCCAGATTTTCTAAACAGAAATTCATAAACAATGTGAAAGTAATTCAATAAAATAGACCATATGTAGTGATATTAAGTAAATAAAAAGTAAAACAAATTGGACTTTAATGGGTTTTGTTTTTATCTAAAGCAAAAGAAAGAAACTGATGTTTTTTTTTAATAAAGATATAAGTAGAGAAATTCAGACTGTTTGATTTTTTTCACAGATTATTAGATTATTATCGTGGGTTTTAATTGAAATCCTTCCTGTAGCAACATGGCGGCTGTACTGACGCATCACAGCATAAAAGCAGAAGCAACCAGAGAAAAATCCACTCTAAAATATCACAGCAGGGATGCTGAGAGGCAGGAAGGTGACAAAGTGGGCGGGGCTTTGATGAGGTTGGTGGGAGGAGCTTAGGGAGAGGTGGGTGAGAAATCTTACCAACTCCTCCTGAAGAGAAACAGAGGAAGGGTAAAATGGAGGAAGAAAGAGAGAAAGAGTGACCGTGAAAATGAACCATGGCAGCAGAGGTGAAAAAAGTGACGTTTCCACTGAGGGATTCGACAGGAAGTCACATGACCAGAGGTCGGCTTCCTGTCTGACGAAACAGGAAAATATTTCAGCAGCAAAAATTCACAAGGGAAGGAAAGAAAAAAGAGGAATAACTGGGTGAAAAGCTGGAAGAAAACTTTTTCTCTCTAAACTAAAATAAGTTCCACAAAAAGCTCAAAAAATTAGAAAATTACTACAATCAAATACTTTGGTACAATACAAAAACATTTATATTTTCCATAAAGCAAGAACTGTTTTCAAACTGAGTATTAATTTTTATTCTTTCATAAAGCAGATTTATGTTTGGAAGAGGGAAATAATTGTACAACAAAACATCTCTGAAGCAGAATTTAAACTGGTAAATGTAGATATTAAATTTACTAAAGTTCTGCTAATTAAAAAAAATAAATTTACACCAGAAGTGAAGCCAGAATCATCATAACTCATCACAAATAATATGATTTTATTGTTGATTAATTGTACTTTATTACATTATTTATGTTATTGTTTATATATTATTTTATTAGCAAATTTATAACTGATATTTTGCTCCACAATAAACTATAAATGTGATATTTCTGTCTGAAACTTATAGAAATATTTTCTTTTATCTGAATGCCAGACCTACCAAGGGTTATTTTATGTTTAATAATAATTAAATGCAGATTTTTAGGCAACCAGGCCTGATTTTGTTTATTTACACTGAAATTAAAAAGGAAGCAAAAAACATAATTAATCCAACAAATATCCACTACTCGTAATCTGCAATCAGGGCCCAAAACAATCAGCCTGCGGACCACAAATGGCCCCCGAACCTCAACTTTTGCAACCCAGAGAAGCTCAACGTCGCTAAGCTAATACAGATTTTCACCCAGTTACGTTTCTTTTTGTTCCACACAGTTCAATCCACACGATTCGCATCGGGACAGAATTGGTCAAACATTCCCAGCAACAGGAAAAGGTGAGGATGGCATGCCTGAGGGACGCGTGGACGTCAGTGAGGACAAAAAGACAAAAAGACAGGGTGGAAAGAGACGCCAAAGAGGAGAAATGCCACTGACCTCGTCTAAAGCTTTCTTATAACTCTGAGGGACGACAGAAGGACAGATGGAGGACAGGATGAGAGGAGAGACAGAGCGGTCAGCCCGTCGTTCAGCGCTGAGTTCATGGAACTCACACACACACACACACACACACACACACACACACACACACAGACACGTTAGCGTTAGCTTCGGCTGCGAGCGCTCACCGCGGGCCGGCTGGGCCGGGTCAGCTCTCTGCTGTCGTCTTTGGCGTCGTGGGAGGAAAGCGTGGAGCCGTCGGTTTTAGCAGCAGAGTTACCTGAAAACAGAATCAAGTAATTAATACTTAATCCAGCTTTAACTTAATCCAGTTTTAACTTAATCCAGTTTCAAAGTTAAACCATTTTTAAATGTAATCCAGTTTAAACTTTAACCAGTTTCATAGTTGATCCAGATTAAGTGTAATCCAGATTACAGTGACTCCAGTTCCATAGTTAATCCAGATTAAAGTGACTTCAAATCTAATTTAATCCAGATTAAAGTGAGTCCAGTTTCATGGTTAATTCAGATTAAATTAATCCAGATTAATGTAATCCAGATTACAGTGCCTCCAGCCCACCTCTCTCGTTGGAGCCTCCCTGGGAGCTCGGGGTGCTGGAGCTGGAGGAGCTGCCGCTGCTCGTCCTCTTCAGAGGCGTTTCCATGGAGATGTCGGTCCTCCTCAGGTCAGGGTTGCTACGGTAACAGAAACAGCATCAGACGTTGAAAGGAAGCAGTTCAGATGGCGGCGGGACGGTTCTGGGCCGTACCTGGCCCGGATGAGGTGCGCTCCGGCCCGCGGGCCGAGGCCTGGTCCGTTTCCCGGAGAGTTCTTCCGGACCAGAGCCGGAGAAATGGAGGTGGTCCGCTGAGGAACCTGAAAACACAAACACACTCCGTTAATCCTCTGGACCTGGACCGGGCCTGGACGGAGCCTGGACCGGGCCTGAACTGGACCTGGACGGAGCCTGAATCGGGCCTGGATCTGACCTGGACCGAGCCTGAACCGGACCTGGATCGGACCTGGACCGAGTCTGAACCGGGCCTGGATCTGACCTGGATCGGACCTGGACCGAGCCTGAACCGGGCCTGGATCTGACCTGGATCGGACCTGGACCGAGCCTGAACCGGACCTGGATCTGACCTGGACCGAGTCTGAATCGGGCCTGGATCTGACCTGGACCGAGCCTGAACCGGGCCTAGACCGGACCTGGATCTGACCTGGATCTGACCTGGACCGGGCCTAGATTGGACCAGGACCGAGCCTGAACCGGACCTGGATCTGACCTGGACCGGGTCTGGGTCGACAGACTCACATGTAGTTTCTGGTTGATTATTTCTTTGTTGTAAAAATAATTGTGATGTTAAACTTTCAGATTCTTTTATGGGTTCTATTCATTTTATTTTTCGAGAGTTGTTTTAATGATCAGTATTAGTATTTTATTGGTTATTATCGATATCTCTGTGCTGATCTTTCATGTCTTGTTCTTGCAGTGAGGTAGATGTTGTCCCACAGCATCACACTGCCTTCACCAAAAGCCACTTCTCGTGTCTTCATCAAACCAAATAACATCAAACATTTAATAGTAAAATGAGCTGTTTAGGTTTCACAGGATGTGATGAGTTTTTGTTTTTTTGCACACAAGGAAACAATCAACCAATCAAAGTTTCACAGTCAGAAGCTGAAATGATCAGATTCAGTTAAAAAACGTCTTTTTAACAGTAAAGATTCTTCATCTTTAATAAGTTGGACTTTAAAATGAGCGCCAACAGTTGTGGGTTCACAGAAACAGAAACGACAGAGACAGGAAGCCGTGCAAACAGACGTGACGAGCGGATCCAGAACACCGGAATCAGAACGTATAGCTGGGCTCATGCAGCCTGACCCATGCAGAGACCTTGGGCGGCATGTCGTCGTCCTGCCGCAGCCAGGAGCTGCGGTCCAGCTTGTCGAGGGGGGGCGCCAGGCGGGACAGCG